CACGTATAGCCATGACACTTACAACTAACATTACTGCCACGCCAATCGGCTGTCACTTGATGTCACTAGCCAGATCATCTTACTTGCTACATACAGTAGTACGGGTGAGCAAAAACAGACCATTGTGTCGAAGTCTGTTCTAAAACCCTGAAAGCACGTCTACTGAGTTGTCTTTAATGTTCGCACACAAGCGAGCACAACGAGCGGCTTTCGCTCGCACGCTGAATTCTCCCTGCATTGCTGTGTGCTGTCTGTCAGAAACAAGGATACATGACGGAAGTACTGTAGTTGCACTGACTGCCCCTCGCTGTCTTCCAAGTACCGGTTGCTCATCTCTTGTTATGCAGTGGCCTCTGTACTTAGACATGCCGGCGTGGGTAACCGAACCGAAGCGTCTCTGCTTGATTGGTACCCGCTGATAGTCGCCTATGCACGGTTCATTTGGTAGCGTCTATGAGAGAATCATTGCTTTTTGTTTATTTTGTCTGGTTGCGCCCCAACGGATTAGCTCTGAATCTGCCAGAGGGTTTCTGTGACGCTTTAGTTGCTCTTTTACAAAGGTCTGGAAGCTCGGAAATCGTTGTTTAGTTGTAACATGAACCTTATGTAGGTAAACTAAGTGCTTCTGAGGCCCAATTGGATGGTCGTCTGGGGTTGAATACGGGATCCGGGACAACGAAAATCATCTACTTCAGATGTATACCAACCATAAAGTGTTCTTTTGCAGTACCGATTTCCAAAATAGCGGAAAGCGCTTGGTAACGTGATGCTCACCAAAGAACCAGTCCCAAATCTAAACACCACATCGATACTAGTTATCTGTGGCGAGGATCGATCACGGCCTACCGCTCCTTCTGGAAGCGTAGACTCCGACTATGCACTTTTGAGTTGCTGCTTTTCATTTCGCTTTTCAGTTCTACGCAAGGCGCGCACACCTCGTGTAATCATTGAAAAGCCAATGGACTCAGAAATCAAACGAGGTGTTCAGAAGCGGTTCCTCAAATGACTGCTGTACGGTCCCATATCAGATAATGATGACCACTGGGAACAGATATCCACATTATTACTCAGAGCTGGAACTACCATTTGCAGTACATTGCAACCAACCTCGTCCAGACTTTGGATCTGCCACAGAACTATGCCTTTTTTGGAGCTTCAACCACAGATTCCTCCTGGCCACAACCACAATTCCATCCGACTCATCATCCGACGCCAGGCTAATCTGAGTGTCCGTGCAGAGTGAAAAAGTTGGGGGACCGGGAAGGGTGAAGAAGTGGAAGAGGCAAAAATGCCGGAAACATCTGCAGCCTGTTCCACTTCCATTCGAGTGGTCCTTTAAAAACGGATAAGCTGATGTCATGCCTACGCCACAGGTGATGCAGGCTCACAAAAGCTGCCCTGGCCCTCTCAATCCGGATGGAAATATAATCTTTCTCTAGACCACCGGGACTGATACAGCTGTCCAGGTAGACAAACTAGTTTGCTCACCCGCAAGCATGAGGCTAGGGTTCGAGCCTACTTAGTGGCATCTACAACCACTATACGACAAGTACGCGGTTCTTACAACTGATTATGATGATGGTGGCGGCCTGTGTGTGGCGGTGGACTGTGAACATTGGACTCCCCTCTCAGTCTCAGAACTGTCCGTGTTCGTACCTCTACTCACGCGTAGTTGTGCTCGTGGGTCTGACAATCTTCCACCTATTCTGTCCAAGGATGGTGGTGGATTCCTCGATCAGTGCCTGTCTGGACTGTTTGTGCCTGTGTGGGAAAGCGAACGTCCCAGATAACTAGGGTGAGCCGGTAGTAATCTTTTCAAAGGGGATACTTGCAGTTAATATCTTAACCACAGGGGTGTCAGTTTTGCTCCCGTTGAACAAGGCTGCTGACGTCACTGATTCCTCGTCGTACGGCGGCAAGCGAATCCTTGCGCGTTAGTACCAAACAGGATCTCAACCGTGTAGAGCCTCTGTCGACCACATCTTCACAATCCGTCAGGTGTTAGAGCAATGCTATTTGTACAGACAACCCACATTCTTACCTTTCCTTGACTTAAGAGTACGTTCGATTCTTCCGACAAGTCAGTGCTGTTAGCACCAGTTCCTCAACACAGTATGCCCCAGAGTGTTTGAACATAACCCAATCCCCATATTCACATACTTTTTGCTGTGGAAGAGTGTATGGTGAGGTCTCCAAAGGCTTCGCTACACTAAGTGGTATCGGACAAGGATGTCCACTCTCTCCATTTTTGTTCAACTTTGTCATTGATGAAGTAATAAGGCAAACGCTGGAAGGTCTTCGAAACCCCAATGTTCGAATTGTTTTTGGCGAGTACGCAAATGTCATTGTTCTCACCTTTGAAAACGAAGGCGCAGCATAATCTCCGTTGAAGAGACTGACCATCATGCCATCTTCCAGCATATGCCTTCAGAGCGTGCAGTCTTTGAACATACTCCTTACAATTTAAGGAGAACCACTGGAGGTTGTGGACAGTTTTACATCCCTCGGTAGTTGTATTAGCCCTCACGGAAGTGTGTTTAATGAAATCAATATTCGAATCTCAGAAACCCATATCACATTTTCTAATTTCCATCACTTGCGGTATCAAGAAGGCGTATCACCGAGTCTCAAAGTTCGCGTGTACCAGGCTACAGTAGGGAATGTTGTACGTTTGCGAAACGTGGATCCTGCGGATAGATGATGCGAGGTGTTTTTAGGTTTTTGCTCACCGGTGCCTCGGAAGCGTTACTGGTCTCGGATAGCGTCGACAAATTCGTAACGGGTTAATTAGAAAATAATTTGTTTGGTTGTGTAGCAGGCACACCAATCGCGAAAACATCCAGCACTATCAGCTATGGTGGCTTTGTCATGTTATACGCACGCCGAAAGGCCATGTACCGAATGTTGTCACCTGAGTCTGTGGTCGCTCAGTGGTTAAAGCGCGAGTTTTCTGATCGGAAAATCCGTGGTTCGAACGCGACTTCTGCATCTTCACTGCTCCTGTTTGGGCATGGGTGACCCGGCAGTATCTCAGCCCTCCTGCTTCCTTTGAGTGGCATGACAGCTAGGTACCGGAGGAGTGTTACAGCTGAACGATTTCCGAACCTCCTTCAGAACGGCGCAACCTTCGAGATAGATAACGTATGATTCGGCAAGGGGGTGTGGAAGAGATTACAAAGAGTTTTGGATATTGTTCGCACAGTACGCCTTCCAGGATGGAGTCCCCATCACCCTGCCTGTGCTTGGCTGGAGATTTGAAAGAAATGATGGCTGGTCGATGTCAGTGGCTTTCATGTTGTCACTTCTTCTCAGGTTGTAGAGAGCATGCACACAGTGCGGTATATATCCACTCATTTCACATCCAAGTGAACAGTATGCGAATGGCTAGCATCCGAAGCAAATTTACCCTTAAACAGTGGTACAGCCACTGCACGCCTAAGCAAGGAAGAAGTCACGGACGGTTTGGGTGAACGTGTTGCTGCTAACAACCTCTTAGAAAAAATATATATATATATATATATATATATATATATATATATATATATGAAAGGTTCAGCCGACTCATTCACCTCTGCAGCTATTTTCGTGGGACCGGAAACAGTTACTCGTATTCTGCTACATATAACTGAACTCACCGAGAGGCCTCTTAAATGCCTCATGTCGCGTGAGAGTGGTCAGGGTAGACAGCTGAGCGAATATAAACACCAGGAATGGGGCTAGAGTAGTCAATAATAAAGCAGGCGTGATATAAGGCAATTTCAAAGAGCTATAAAAGAGCGAAGTCACAAAAATACGTGCCTAAATAAACTAACATACAAACTTGCATATTCTATTGTATTTGGTAACGTGATTTAATACCCTTGTCGTTTTAGTCTCGGCTTACATACCCTGTCCCTTATGTGCTTAGTTTTTAATCGACCTTTGTAACCCTACTTCTGGCCGGTTTCTGCGAGCGTCATTCAGCTGTAACACCATTTCGGTGTGTAGCTTCTATGCCACTCGAGGAAGGCACGAGCGTAGAACTACTGTCAGGTTACCCAAGCCCAAACAGGAGCTGTCGAGATGCCGGGGTTGGATTCGCATTACATATTTTTCGTGCCTTCAACACGGAGCTACCTCGGGATCACTTGCTCGTTTTTACTATCCGGCTGACCTCACGCGGAATGACCTGCTGACCCTGGGGATGATTTGTGTTGTCTAACATTACAGGAGTACTTGCTGATTTGTTATCGAAACGCTCACACGTGGACACCCTACATCTTGATTTCAAATCTTCGAACTAATCGTAGGGGCTTTTATACCTCAACAATTGGACACCGCTTTATACACTTTTGCGGGCCCAGCCAACCGACTACTTTTTCACCCAACTGGTTAGATGATTTCTGAAATGGACATCACGTTGCATAACAATGAGATAAGTCCCTACCGGAGCAGCCTCCGTAACTGGGAATGTACAGATGTAGTGCTTCTCGGAACAGGTTGGCTTTCTGTGATCCTTGGGGAAAAACGACTAATTTACTTACATGTTGTGAGCATTCGAATGTTAAATTTTATGAGCCTGGTGTGCAGGAAGACCGTAATTACGCATGAACATTTCGATGATTATCGAGTGAGGGTTCATAACCCTGAAAACGTTTTGGATTGGAAAGTTGGCTTATCTTCTACGGCCAGACGTCTGCGATGCACGGTACATGTCATCAATTATCCTGTAGGAAATTGTTTCGTGGTCGACAGCGGTCCCTAAGATATCCCAGTCATTTTTTCGCCTTTGAAAATTATATTTTTTCCAGCCCTCCATTTCAAGTTTGGCACAACTTGAACCTGAGTTATGACTTATCGAGTTTGCCTGCTAGTCATCTATCGGTTCTTCCCTTCAGATATGATTGCTTGATTAACCCGGACCTTGTGCTTACTGTAAGGCGTGTGTTCCCTCACAAATGGATTCAGGTAAGTGCTTTCTGGATAATAAACACTTTTTAATGTAGATGCCAATAAGGTACCTCTCACAGATCCATCGGCGACGGCCTCCACTGAGACTGTAGATATCACAACTCGGTTCTTTACAGCGTGTAGAGACGCTCTTGGCCCTGGGGAACTTTGTCATGGTTCGTGGTTCACACTTCAGCATTCGATGTCTGCAATCGAAATCATGGATCCCAAAATGGATATTCGCATGCTTGGTTCTCGCCGCGTTGTTTCGACTGCTGAGGCACTGGCTACGGGTGTCTTGCCGTTAGCTCCATTTGAGAATAAATCTGAATTAGTTGGAATTATGGACGAATTACTGGCGTCTCTTGTGAATTGGCTCACAGGGGACTCGCTTGCCCAAACGGTTTTCATATGCATGTATATGCACTGTACTCAGCTTGTTCGTGATGTGCACCTGGCTGCTTTTTGTGAACTTTTACGACGGTGTGTCTACCAACTCCGTCAGTTTATTATGGCTGCTGGTGCATTCGAGGAAGAGGACCATTATGCACTTACGCATGGAATGCCTTTAAAAGAACCTAATTTTTCTTTTGGTGATTTGGATATTCATCCAGGTGGTGTATATCTCAGTAAATACTCTTCAGTTGACCTGGTCACTCATGCCCAGCGCTTGTTATCTGAATGCTCCAGTAATACACCCGATGCTGCCGTAGAAGGAATGGATTATGTTCGTATACGGATAGAATTTTTAGTGCACCTCCTTCAGTTAACTGACACTTTGCTCGCACACGTGGAAAACCTCGATGATCTCGTCTTGAAGGATTCTGAGCTTGAAGAATTCGGCTGTTCTTCCGACCACCCTGGGCCTGAGGTTGGAGTTACCAATTTTAATCAACAGCCTTGGGAGTCACATGACGTTGAGCAGTTTTGGATGAAGCTGGTTTCGATGTCTACCGAGTGTCAGTCCCACCTCGTTACTTTGAATCATTTAGCTGCCGAACTTCTGGCAACTGCGTCGTTTGGTCTCAGTCCTGGACCCGGGAAAACTTCTCCTAAAGAGTCTTTTTACGGAATACCCGGATTCGAACCCTTATTAAACCAAACGAACCTCCCGTCGTATATTCCACGGTTCGTAGTTGTGCACGATCGACTCGCGGCCTTCACATATTTCTGTGATCTTACTGACCACATGATGCGTCTTACGAATACTTTTCATGAGGTTGGTACAAGACATTTGAACTCTCCTAGTGCGTCTTCACTGCATTTGCTTTGGTCTTTGATGCGGTCATGCGGACAAACACCGTGTACATATGTGACAAAGATTTTCGGGGTTTCTCGTGATGCACAAACTTCCGTCCCTCCATCGAATTCCAGTAGTTGCCTGTTGTCACGAACACTTTCTAGTTTTCTGTATTTTGTCTCAATGGACCGGTTACACCAGTTACCAGAAGCCGCGACAATGCATGCACTCTTTGCACTTCGCTCCTGGCTGCTACTTGAACCGAGTCACTTTCGGACAGTACTCGAGGGTATCGTTTCAGATCTCAGTGGATTAAAAGATTTCTTTGATGTGCTGGGAGAACAATTATCTCTGGTAAGTTTGCTTGTGGAACAAATCAATACTGCCTTTGTTGGGTTATTGAAAGGCTTGTTAGTTTTCGATTAGGCAACTTTAATGCTCGTGAATAAGCTTCAAAATCGCCAACAGATGTCTCTCTTCTCAGGATTTCCGGACAAGCTGTGCTTGTCCGATTTTCAGCCACCCAACCAACAATCTGTTGATAACTGAATATCTGGCCGGAACTCATAGGTTCCATGGCCTTCCTTTTTGAAATTAGCGTGTTTGCATGCCACATTAGCACTCGATTTCTGTACGGGAACTACCGCGGTATCGTGTAATCTGCTCCACTTTCCGTAGTAACCGCTGATTGGTACTACTTCCACACAAAACGAATGGTTCTATTGTTTCTTCATGCCATGTGTAACATTCGGGGACTGGCCGAAGCTTCCGTGTGTCAAATATGTACACATTAAGAGACCACTGACTCGGCCGACTGGGACTGTCGTACCAGAAATCATGATGTCATTGGTGGTTTTATGGTCCAATGCTTATCCTTCTTGGCTTAGAAGAGCAACACTTGCAGTTGGCTACTTTGGATTTGTCGAAATACTAATTCGCTGTCGCTGTTGATACCAGAGAAGTAGAAACACGTTATACAAATCCAACCAGAAACCTCACGGGATCCACTCACAGTATTCAGTATTACAGCGATCGCTAACGAGACTGCTAAGAATAGTTGCTCGAGGAGAATGGACGGTGTAAATTGTGTTGGTTTTGATCGAAGTACATCTCATTGCAACACCTGTGTGTGTCCTTTGGTTTTAGAGGAAGGGCAATGTAGCCGGTCATCAAGTTGGAAATGTACCGGCTAAGGAATGGGGTCTAACTGAAGGATATGATCATCCTTTAGATGATGTGCTAGCGAAATCTTATAACGATTAGTCAAATGGCCCAAAAAATGAAGCAGCAAGTAGAAAAAGTACAGCGGTGGTCGTTGGTTTGTTCGCTGAGCTGAGTAATTTGATCAGCAAATTGATCACAAGAATGCGAAACGGGTCGCACACTTCAGTGAAGGAGCTTTCGTCGTATGATGAGAATTTTGAATCCAAATAGGTCCTTTGTGAGGAAAAACTATTGGAATGTGGGTGAGATGAGGAGGTAAAAACTAGTGCAACTAGAAGACATTTTTAAAATTTAATAAACAATAACAGTGCGCTCTTCGTTGCAACATACTTTCGGTGTCTAATTGCCTTGCCATCCGAAGGAAGCACGAGGGATAAGATACTACCAGGCTGCCCAACCCCTAATAAGGACAGCCTAGATGCCGCAGTTGATTCAAACCACGGAACTTCTACGCAGTAAGTTTAAGCCATAATCGAAAATTCAACAGTTAACTATCATACCGAAGGACCATTTCGTCATCACAACGCTGAGGATTAGTTCGATCCACCCGCTAGTGCCATCTTTTCGAGATCAGTTTCACTAGGTCCGGCTAGCAGGTTGTGGTCGAAATACCCCTAGTTTTAGCCTCCAATCACGAGCGTCAAAAGCTATCAGAGTGTAGGACCATTTACGGTTGGTATCGACAGCCAGCACCTATAGGACAAGAATTTTCCAATGAGAGACATCCATATCAATAGGTCCAGTGGCCCGTTTTCAGGGATTTTTGTGAATATGCATCCAAGTGTTTGGAAGAAGTCAGTGTTTATCGTAAATTAAAAAAAACACGGATGGATTTATTGATTTTTTGATCTATCAGGGAGACGTTTTTGCGTTTTATGGACTTGTCTGTCTGATGTTCGAATCGCGTCTTGCTTGCATTATGTCCAATGGCAAGACCATGCCAAGAAACTGGTAGCTCTCGTCACTAGTGCAGGTTTCAAGGAATTCCTCTGTCCTTCAACACGTCTTGCACAAATTGTCGTTCGTCGCTGTTATGTGGATCCCCTAGTTAAACGAATAACAGTCCCTGACGGTCACTTTATGTCTGGCTTCACGGCAGTTGTGATTACTGAATGTGGTTCGTTCTAAAAAGCCAGCGATGACAGCGAAGTCGATAAATACAGTTTTGTAGTGTTTCTTGTCTGGAAACGGAAGAGCCATTTGTAGGTCTCACATATCGTAACCGTCGTGTCAGGTGGCCTCATCGCGTTGCGGATAACCCAATAAATAATCCTTCGGAGCTCTGGAGAGTGGTACACAAATTAGGTATGGTAAGCGAACAGGCAAATCGTTGGTCACAGGTCAGTCCTAACCCGTAGACATACACGGGCGTGCAATCGCAAATATCGTTTTTCGGTTTAACTTTTCATTGGTCACGGCAGCATGCTGTGATGTGACCATCCGACAGTGCCAGCTTATGACAAAATAAATCGGTTTGAAACGTGCTTGGTGTTCATGAGGTGTTCTGTCTTCATATTTTGTTTTCAAAATACAGCATTACATCAGCCCTCTAGTAATCTCGATACATCCGGAGAATGCTGTTAAGAATATTATGGCAAACAAGCTTTGCTGTTCGTGGGTATACTATCGTTTTGAGGGCGGGTTTTCGGACACTGGACTGCCTGATTAACGCTTCTCGATCTGGCTTGACTCTTATTGAGAATTTTTACTGTGTGGCACAGCTAAATGGTAAGAAAAGTCCCAGTCGGTGGATATATGATGCGACGTTCATCAACAGGGATATGCAAGGCAGCATCTTTTATTACATAGGTCTTTTATTCACAAACATGATTCAGTAATCCAGTGCTTTTCATGTTACTGGTGAGCGGGAATTCGGAATTTATTACTATTACCATTATGGTCCGGAATAATACTGTTTATTATAATCATAGCGCCAATACTGACACCTATGCTTCGCTATCGCACTGTCATTTTTGTTGACCACCATCTGACACTTTCTTTAGTGCTCTTCGACGAACTATGCATTTTTTACTCTCTCCATTCTTCTTATTTCGCCCTATCACAGATCCCGCGTCTCTATTGTCTCAATCGATCGCGTCAGCGTACTGCACTGGTACAATGTTTGCAAAAACTACCGGATATTCTTGAAAATTGTTTACGTATTGAGTGGATTATTGGTGTGGAGCTAGCCAAGAGGCTTGACCCAGAAGCTAAAGACAACCGGTTGGACGAGCCCCTAAAGCCAGTTGCACTCCAACTGACCAGCCTTCTGTGTTATTATTATTATCAACTTGCTTGGGACTATCTTATTTCTGGATTCCAGTTGGAGCTGTACAGTCCGCATGAATGGATTTTCATGTACACTTTCATTATCCAGCTGTTGCAAAACCTTCATGGTCTTTTAGAACGCTTCATAGCCATTTCATTCAGCAACGATACTCAACCGAGCAAGCATGACTCACTACCTCACGTTTTAAATGGAAATGCTTCCTGTTCACAGTGCGCTAATATATCTTCCGGCGCTGGCGACAGCACAGTTCACTCTCATCGCTCATCTGGAAACCGTCGCAAAAAGAACAAGAAGCATTGGAAACCCGCTTTTGTGAACCCTCCCACAAAACCTGCCACACTACCGGAGGGAAGGCCACATAATCTGTCACAAAGCAGCACACTTCTTAAGATTTGCGGACCGTGTTCAGAGACTGAGGTAGGTTTTTTATTAAAGCGAAATATCCAATGCTTTATGATACATCTTATTTTCATGTTTTAGCAGTTCTGTTATCCAGACTTCATTCATTCGGCTTGTCCAGATTAATACTAGAATTTCCAGCAGTTCATCGCTCACACTCATCTGGTGGGCTATATGTGGCTTTTGAGGTACGATTGATGTTTCCCCAATGTAGCCCATCCTTTTGGATAGTTCCTCATGACGTTTTCTGGCGTGTATACCATGTACGAATGTTCGCTGTTTTACGCCACTGCAAGACTTAGATGCAAATGAGGTAAGAAAAAGGAATGGACTGACTGAGATGCATATGATAAGAATGAAATCGTAGACCAGTTAATGGGAAAAAGGCCAGAAATAGGAAGCTAATCATAACAGTTTCATTGGCCGTCGCTGTGCTAGTAACATCATCTAGCAATTAATGAGCTGGCCCACAGATGGAATGAACCAAAGCAATAGCGACCCGTTGTTAAGTTACTCATGTTTCATTTCCAGGCCATGCGTTGTCCATTCTGGTAAAAGCACCAACTGGCTAAACCATTGACCAAGTGCCTGCCGTCACTACATGTCGCGGTCTATGTCGCAATTCGTCTATTGTCCCATTCATTGATCCCCTTCCATTTGAGTTCACCTCGTTCAGCATATCGTTGTAGTAGTTTCGGAATTTTTTTTATTCCGACTTTGTCAACAATGAATCAAAATGAGGTCCGTTGCAAATCTTTGAAAATAAGTTATCCTACTGAGCGATTTCAACTTGAGAAGTTATTCTAGCCATTGACTGATATACCGTTTCTATCTTCGCTGCATCGCGCGGTTTTTTCCTCTCCGTAATGCATCGGTCACGATATATATATATATATATATATATATTCACCAAGTCTTGCACGTGATATCGGATCTGTGCGCTACTTAACGTGATACACTAAGATAACGAGGGTTAGTGCGAAGCCATATAATCAGTTCACTTCTGTGCCACTTCAGAAAGCACCTTCAAATCTCACCTTTAGGGACGAGATGCACCAGTTGTGCAAGGCGAGTGGTGTCTTCAAAGACGGGCATCAGTTTATTTTTTGCATTCTAGCCAGATTCGGACAAAGTACGCACCGAACCATGCGACTGGAAGGATCCAGGGAACATGACCTGAGCACTTAAGCTTGTTTTGACAGTTAAGTGCCAGTATGTATTATTGGTGTGTTATCATCAGTGATGATGGTCACTATTATTGTTTTTAGATACCGATATACCCAAATACTTGAAGGGTTGTTCTGTACCAAATACACGTTGACGTGTCTCACTCTTGTTGACACAATTCTTCCATCAAACACAGATAGTGCTTTACGTACACTAATGCTCAAAAGTTGATGAGTGCTGCACATCTTCCGTGCTTGAAGACCACCTTTCATTGTTGTAGAGTGAAGCTGTTCGAAAGAGAACGTCGTATATTCGACCCTTCAACCCGAGGTCGACGTTCTGTTGGCATCATTAGTGAGTTAGGTACGCAAACATTCGACAGGCTTTGTTTACACTCTTCGTCCCTTATCCAAACATTCCGTCTGTACCAAAAGACCAATCCAGATGGTGATCTTTTCAGCGAATTTCGCGTGTGCTGGTCATGAGTGAGTTTTTGGAGAAGGATACGCGGGATTGGGTCTATGTTCATGTTGACAGAGGTTTCTAATTGCTCCTTTCAGGTCATAGTCAGCGAAAAGCTTAAACTGGAATGCTGCCAACAGACAGCCTTGCAGTAGTTTATTTGAGGTGTTAGAATTCATGAAGGCTCACCATAAATCTCGACGTTGTACGAGTGAGGATGACATTGACATGATTTTCAGACAGTTCGTTCTCCCTCAGACGGTCCCACAAAGTTGTTTGATCAACACATTAGAAAGCGCTATTTGTATCGAGGGTGGTCACCGTGGTAGGCGTACGGTAGGTGAGGTGCTGATGTGTCAGATTGCTCAGCGTATATAGTTGGTCAATGCGACATTTTCAAGGGCAGCATCCAGTTTGTGTTCGCGCATCGGTACTACCAATTGTTGACAGGCTTTGATGGTTGTCGCATTTAGACCGTGCATCTATCTTAAAGATAGAGCCTATGGTTGGAGAATCTGGGTTGGTTTTTTGTCCCAGGTTTGTTGAAACAGCATGGTCAAGGGGCGAGATGGCTCAGTGGTTAGAGCGCGACTTTACTGACCGGAAGGTCCATGGTTGGAACCCAATCTCTGCATCTCTTTGTCTAGCCTTGGGCAACCTCGCAGTATCCCAGCCCTTGTGCTTCGAACGACCATCGATCTGGCCAATGTGAACTTTCAACGTAAACGTCTGTGTCGCGTAGCCTGGAGGCTACCAAGATCAAATCAGCCTTGAACCCAAGTGAATAACCTGGCTATCAGGTACTGATGGAGGGCCACGATGCAAGCCTTCAGTCCCTTTTGGTGCACACATGATAACAACAACACCATATTTCAAGTACGCCTGACAGTTCACCTTCCTTCAGGACCTCGCAGGTTAGCAAGAAGCATAACACCCGACCACCTCTGGAGAGCTACCATTGCTCAGCAGTATCGATCTGAGCAACTAAGGTTTTCAGCAAATAAACTCCACACGGCTACCGTGGATGGGATGCGGTGTACAGAGCTGTCTGTCGGACCTCGCAGATACGATCAACTGACTACTGGACAATGTAGGGATCGCCAGTTCTGATAGTTACCCGGAAATCCATACCAACACGCAACGAGTACGCTAGGAGATATCACCACATTTTTCGAACCAAAAGATAGATTTTGCGAAGTTGGAGCACTCATGTTGTTAGAGTGACATCTGCTCCTCTTTTACGAGTCGGGCGTACAACGCCACAACCTGAACAGTGTTACCATACAGCTGTGAAGTCTGACCTCCACAATGTCCGTCGCTAGGCCTTTTAGACAACCGCTGTTGACGCAATATTGCTTAAGTATGCTGACAGCAGCATGCGAGTAGTGACGGAGCATGTCATCGGATTTAGGGTGCCGCCAGCGCATAACTGGATGAAATCGCAATGCAACCAAACAAAACAAAGTTCTCATTCGGTCATGTGTAGACATTCTCCTTCTGCTGTACCGTAATTTACCTGGCACTATATCTGAT